CTGCTGAACAGACACCTCTCTCAGCTTTGTTTTATGCTCATCTAGCTAAACTGGTATGTTTTCTCAGAATAGCAACACATTTTTTAACATACTTTTTTAACACACTTTTTACTATTTGTTAAAGTTTCTTAGAAGCTACAAAATCATATATGGAAACCAGTTAAATAAAGGGCTAGACATTCAATTTTTTATTTCTTAATAAATTTGAGGTTTTTCAATCAATAATAAAGAGAGTATTTAAAAAGGATGTTTGTTAGAAGAGAAACTATTACATGATCTCAACAAGAATGCGTGTTAGAAGAGAAATTATTACATAATCTCAACTATTGTTGTCTTGGTCAATCTCCATGTGTTATGTAGAGATTGACTACGACCATGGCCACTTAGTAGTTTTTGAACCATATAATAATTTCTTGTATTAGAGTTTGTATTGGTATTTCTCATTCTACAATTTTCTTAATTATAAAGCACAATTGACATTTTCAAGTTAATTATTAGGGCTATGATGATTTGTTTTGGTTGCTTGTGTTTTGAAGGCTGGAATTCCAGATGGAGTGCTCAATGTAGTACCCGGATTTGGCCCAACTGCAGGTGCTGCAATATGCTCACACATGGAAATTGACAAGGTAAATTAAAGTCAAGCATTTGGAAGTACCATCATTTAAATAAAGTGTTTGAGAATAGAGTTAATTAAACACCACAGAGAATTCAACTAATTGGTTATTAAATATTAACAAACTACACAAATCAAATTTATATTACATTTTAATCCAAAATCTTAAAACATCAAATTTATTGTCTTTTTTATTTATATATTACTCAATATATCTAATTATTTTTAATGTGTGAGTCTAATAGTATTTGCTTGATTGTGATTTGTGCATGTGTAGGTCAGTTTTACGGGTTCAACAGAAGTAGGGCGTGAAGTAATGCGTGCTGCAGCTAATAGTAATTTGAAACCAGTTTCGCTTGAACTAGGAGGCAAGTCACCCCTCGTAGTTTTTGATGATGCTGATCTAGATAAAGCCGTTGACCTTGCTCTCTTGGGTGTATTGTATAACAAGGTGAAGTTTTTTTTTTTTTAACAAGTTATTATCCCCTTTACAAAGCAACCCATTTTTGTACATTTTACTAACAATTGTTTATTCTTGTTGTCTGGTTTTCAGGGAGAAATTTGTGTTGCAGGTTCCCGGGTATTTGTTCAGGAAGGGATCTATGATGAATTTGAGAAGAAGCTGGTAGAAAAGGCAAAAGCTTGGGTTGTTGGGGATCCTTTTGATCCCAAAGTTCAACAAGGGCCTCAGGTATGGATATATAGTAGCATAACCTCCATCTTGTTCTTAACTGTTTCAGAAACAGAGAAATGGGATAAGTGAATATCAATTAGGAATTTAGAAAGTATGGCATTGCATTATCTCCTCTATTGACTTGCACAACTTTCTATTGCAGGTTGACAAGAAGCAATTTGAAAAAATCCTTTCCTATATTGAGCATGGAAAAAGAGAAGGAGCCACCCTTTTGACAGGGGGCAAAAGAGTGGGCAACAAGGGTTACTACATTGAGCCTACAATTTTCTCTAATGTTAAGGTGAATTCTAACTAAAAAGTATGGCTTCATTAGGACAATTGCATAACTAAGTAGCTAACCATCATATTGAATTATTATTTTTTTTACCCTCAACAACATATTTAGGAGGACATGCTAATTGCCCAAGATGAAATATTTGGTCCTGTGATGGCACTGATGAAGTTTAAGTAAGTTGAAACCTTTTCTCTTTTGTAGTACTATTATTAAAAAAAAAAAGTGCATTGTTTGATGAATCCTAAATTTAAGCATGATATATGAGCAGGACCATTGAGGAAGCAATTACAAATGCTAACAACACTAGGTATGGCCTAGCAGCAGGCATTATGACCAAGAGTTTGGATACAGCAAACACTATGTCAAGGTCAATTCGTGCAGGCATTATTTGGATAAACTGTTATTTTATCTTTGGAAATGATATTCCTTATGGAGGTTATAAGATGAGTGGGTTTGGAAGAGATTTAGGATTGGAAGCCCTATACAAATACCTACAAGTTAAATCTATTGTAACACCCATTTACAATTCTCCTTGGCTTTAAATTCATATGTTCTCTTTGTAAACTGTAATGACTAATGAGCAAGACATGAGTTTCTGCCAATATGCTTTCATCTAAGCAATAAAATTGGGCACATTTTACCTTGCATACAACCCAATTCACATGAAGTATTTTACCCAATGAGTTGTGCTTTTATGCTCTGCATTTTTTTCTCTCTCTCTTGAATGGAATACACTTAAAAACAAATTAGTTGAAATGTATTATTTTATTTTTGGTAAAATTTTAAATTATGTAGATTTGAACTACATGCTTATGATGAACGAGACAAAAAAAATGTTTATAATAAAAAAGGTTTTCTTTAAAAAGAACAAATGATTACAAAATGTAATTTAAAATGTTTTCTGTAACGACCCAGCTGGTCACTACACACGGCACAGCACACTGGAAACACCAGGCAGATAGAACAAGTATATAATATAGGATCTTGAATATATGTATATACAAGGTTCCAAAAGTATATAATATAAGATCTAGAATATATGTATATACAAGGTTCCAAATCTAACTAGAGTTAGAGTGTACAATAAAAATACATCAAAGCTACTACACCCAGTAGCTAAACAACAAAACATCTAAATAGATCAGCTCCGTCTGCCAGCTACAGACCCTACACCAGCCACCAACCTATCCCTGCTCTGCTCCCATACATAGTATGATCATTGCAGTCCAAACATCATGGAGACAACAAAGGGTAAGCTAGTGTAAAGAAATCAACATACACATATAAATATATGAATGGAAACATCTACAGCTATCAGCACACTCGCACAGCTTATACTACACCACAACAATTCAGCAATATCAGCACCGCTCAGCGGCTATAACAGCACCACAATAGTGGCTAACAGCACCGACATAGCGGCTATAACAGCATCACAATAGTGGCTATAACAGCATACAGCTCAGCATTTCACAGCACAGCACATCAGTATACAGCACAGCACAGTAAATCAGTATACAACACCGCTAAGTAGTATTCAACACAGCTTACTACTCACAACTCAGCTCATCATTCTAGAGCACAGCAATATCATATAAGACATCATTGAAAATCATTAGTAACAGCCCAGCTCAGCACAGCATTAAACATCTATCACAGCTTAACATCATATTTTCAGCATCAACAACTAATAAGCACAGCATATCATCAAATTCAGCTTAGTTCAGCATAAAACAACCTTTCTCAGCAATTTCAGCAAAGTTTAACAGCTAAAAGCACATCAAGTCAAAAATACTTCCTTTTTACACATGCAACCATGAAACAAGTGAGAGACCCAAAATTCATCAAAAACCCCAAAAACCCCAAAGTTCATTTTCAGCACTTCAACCAAAAATCAGTAACATCAGCCAACAATTTTGAGTTCCTAGAACTCGTTCACAACCAAAATCAGCAAGACCTAGCTTCCCTTACCTCGGCAATGATTTCCGAGCTTCCGGGAACTTGAACGCAGAAGAAAAAGAGAAGGAATGGAGCTTGAACGAGAAAGGTCAACTTGAGCAACTGATTAGAAGAAGAAGAGCTCCGATTCACCTACTCAACCACACCACCTTGAATCCAAACGGCGGAAGTGAAAATCAGGAAAGTGAGAAGAAGAGAGTAAGGAGAGTATGAGTGAAAGGAAAAATGAGAGTGAGTAAGCAAAGAGAGTCGAGGGTAGAAAAGGAAAAGGAGAAAGGGGTCTCACATTTTCCACTGTTAATATCTTTCATTAAAATTTAAAATATATCTTTTACAAAATGCTAGAAGGTTGCTTTCAATCAAAACCTGGTGTAAAAAAAAGTTGATAGAAAACTCCTTAGAGTTGACTAAGCTCGATCAAGATTAAAGAGCCAGTATTCCTTAGTTGAGTCAATAATCACTTAAAGTGGGAATCGTTATAGTTTTAGACAATACAACAACTAACAATTTTTTTTACACAAATATAATTTTGACACGCATGATAAAATCAAACATGATTCCACTATAAAATCTACAATTTTACCATATACAACGTAAAACTAATTTTTAACCTATTTTCTCTACAAATAAAGAAATATTGGATCAGTGTTATTTTACATCATTTTAATCAAAATTCAAATTTTATTTTGATAAATTATATTAATATTTAATTTACGCTTTATTTCATATTTTATTGAAATAAAACTAATATTTAATTAAAAATAATATTAAATACACCAAAAGAAATTCAGCTGAATAATACCCTACTGTTTGAAAAAGTACAAATAAAATATTACATAAACGTATATGCGAGACTAACACATCAAATGTAATATAACATTGTATATTTAATAGATAATTTAAGGGTATATTGGTTTAATACTTCAAAAATTTTAAAAGATATTTTTTTATTATAAAAAAATCTTATGATATTTAATGAAAAATTTTTAATATTAAAAAATTAGATAATATTTAATTAAGACAATCAATATTCTTTTAAGAGTATGTCAAAATTTGAAAATATTTAATTGATAATCATGATTTTTTAAGAATATCTTGATATTATTTGATTAAAAAAATTTACTTAAAAAAGTCTTTTATATTAAAATATATATATAGAGATTTCAATTGCTTATTTTATTAGAATTTATATGTAATTTACTCATTCAATAATCTTCTCTCTCTTTTCTCTTAGTCTTTTGTTTTATCTTTTTTATTTCTCTCTCTTTCTTATTTTATTTTCAATTTTATATTCTCTCTTTCTCTTTTTGTTTATCTTTTTTATTTAATTTTTTTCTTTTTCTCTCTATTTTTGTTCTATAATTTTATATCTATCAATATTGATGTATAGTTTGACAATATTTTTTAATTATTGAATATTTAAAAATATTTTTAAATTATTAAATATGACTCATAATTACATTTAACTATAATGTTTGATTTTCAATGAAACTTAATATTAAAACATAAAAAAATATATGGTAAAAAATAAGTATTTCAAATAAATTATCTAATAAAATAATTAAAATTTTAAATATCAATTTTTAAGTTTTTTTCATCTAAATACAACTTAAGAGAAAATTTTAATTTATTTATAAAATTAGTATGTGAGATGTATATTTGATAAAAATAAAAATAAAATATTGAGTGTGCATAATTATAAGAGTGAAAGTTTTATTATTTAAATTATATATAATATCATATTAAATATAATTTTTATATGTAATTTAAAAGAAAAAATTATAAAAACAAATAGGTTTAGTCATCCATCAAGTTGTTAATGTCACTTTTGATAATCTTACCAATTAATAAATATTTAATTTTGAACATATTATTTAAATTTAATAATATAAATAATAAAATATCAACTTATAAAAGATTATATATATCTATACTTTATATATAAAAATAATAAATTAATTCATAATTATTTTTCATCCTCATATCATCACTTCATTTTGAATAATTTTATCCTTAAATTTTTAAATATAAAATATAATATTAAATATTAAATATTATATAATCACTAATCACATAAAATCATTCAAATCTTCATATTTTTAATCATCCTTATTACTTAATCTTAATTATTCATTTTATATTAAATAAAATACAAAAATATAAAATACGTCACCTCACTAATATATTAAAAAATTACTTATGAAAATATTAGATAATTATTAATCAATTGTATATTAAAAGCAAAAAAAAAAATAATACTTTTATTTTTTCATTTAAACCTTATAATGTTATTTTTTTTAATTAATTATATTATTTTCTAAAAATCTATATTATCATTTTTAAAATCCAATAAAACCATACAAATCTTATAAGTTCCATATAAATTTATTAAAATTTGTATTACAATATTTAAGTATAATTATTTTTAAAAATATAAACAATTACATTGCATTTCTACAGTGTCTTTAAAATTTTGTAAATCTTTTTATAATAAATAATTTTATAAAATTCTAATAATAATAATAATAATAACCCCCAATCAAGTGCAAAAACTAATATTGCATAGGCAAAGGCGAAAATAATTGACAGTTAAAATCGCTAATCATTTCCATTAACATCTCGTTTCAACCTTTAGTCGTGGACTCTAAAAAACTTGCACCCTTCAAATTCCCCTTATCGTTCACAACATGAAAGCAAACGCACACAAATTTCTTTCTTTCTACCAAAGTACCAATGATCTTAAAAACCCTATGAGTATGAACTAATGCTTACACACACACACATCAATCATCACAACAGAAAGCGCTGATAAATTCACTTTCCGACTTTGCCCCTCAGCTTAACACCAAGCACCCTCTCCATCTTTGCCAGCACGGCCTGGTTCGGCACCGCCTTCCCGTTCTCGTACTCCTGCACCACCTGCGTCCTTTCGTTTATCTGCTTCGCAAGCTCCGCTTGGCTCATCTTCTTCTCCACGCGCGCCTTCTGGATCGCCTGCCGCACCTCCCCCGCCACGCGCTCCAGCGACGCCGCCTCCGTCACCTCGTCCAGCTTCCTCGCGTACACCGCCGGACTGCCGCCCGACTTCTTGTTGGCGCCGCCGTCGAACTTCTTCACCGTCGCCACCTCCGCCCCCGACCGCAGCGCCGCGTTCACCGCCTTAGGGTCACGCAGGTCCTGCGCCTTCGGCTTCGCCTTGTGCAGCACCACCGGCTCCCAGTCCTGCCTTATCACCCCCGCCGATCGATTCGGCATCGTAGAAGAACCAACGGAAGTGGTAAACTGGTAATCGATTATTTGGAATCGGAGAATGAAATGATTACGCGATGCGTTTGCGTGAACGGTTGAGCAGTGGCGGTTTTTTTATATTGGTGGCGACGTGTCTCTGGAACGTTCCATCTTGCATGTCTGACGTGGACGGAATTCGATTCGGGTTTTCTCGCGAAACTTCTCTTCCTTGGTAAAGTATCACCGCCGTCGAACTTCTTCGAATTACTTATTACTACCATTTTTCTCCGGTTATTAAATAATTCACACGTTCACAAATATTCATTGGTGAATTGGTCTAGGTCTTAATAAACTTTTTTAAAATTATTCAAGACAAAATTTACATAAATCTTTTGAGTTATAAAACTTTTTGAGTTAAAGACTAGTTTATTCACAATTTAATTTGTAATTTTTTAAAATAAGTTGTATAAAAGAGTTTTTACAAATTAACTTATATATAAGCAATGGCAAATGCTTTGGGACAGTCATAAAATAATGATCAAAATAAACATGATTTGTTTGGGGATTGGATTACGGTTTCCCGGTAGCATAGAAAAGGCAAACAAAATGCTAGCAAATTATTAATGGCGACCCACAAATCTTCTATTACTTTTGGGAACAAATTTGGTACGTTATAGAATCTGGAAATATGTACGATGCACGTGGAGACTAAGGGGTTGCATGATGTCACAAGTTTTGAGGGAACACGTCAGGTTAATATGGTAGGTAATTAAGGATGAATTAAATGAAGAGAATTTCTATCGTACCTTTAATTATCGAAGGGTTTTGGTATTGTTAATAATGTGAATGTGTTGTTGATGTGTATTTATGTGTCATTATTTAAAGTCTATGTTAGTTTTAATTTTTTATTTATTTAAAATTCACGCCAGTTATATGGTTAATTGAAGTTTACGTTTTTAATTTTTCTTTTCCGTATCTTTCTGACTTCTTTCTTGCTTCTTCTTCTCTCTCTTCTTGGTTCTTTCTCGTCGACGATTTGGCCCTACGGGCTGGCGAGTGAGACGGCGAAGGCGGAGATCGCGATCGCCGACGAGGCGTGGAGGAGGAGCATGGCGGAGAGGGAGAGGACATCAAAGCGGTCGTGGAAAGTGACGGTGGCCCCCAGGGTGACGGAGGGTTGACAGAGAGTGATGTTGGTGACGATTCTTGAACTGGACAGGACGCATAGGCCCGTGTTCTTTCTGCGACTGAACCGGGCCAGGGCCTCGACCATGTCGCTCCCGCCCGGGATTTCTAAAATAAAAGGGGTCATAGTGGGCTCGGGCTCCCGGGTTATAACGAGCGGCGGTTTGGGATTGTTTTTGGAGCCGGGAGGGCGGCCCCTGGGGTGCCTGACAATTTGTTCTCGCTGGCTCGCGGAGGGGATGTCCACAAATTCTGTTTTCATTTTCCCCGTATATCTTCACGAAGCAAGAAAGATGTCAGAAAGATACGAAAAAAAAAATTAAAAAAGTGAACTTCAATTAACCATTTAATTGATGTAGATTTTAAATAAATTAAAAGTTAAAAATGACATGGACTTTAAATAATGACACATAAATACACAAAAGTTATACATCATCGACAGTACCAAAACCCTTCTTTTATAAAGGGTTCAGTAGTAATGCCCTTAAATGAATCCATATTAATAATAAGAAAAAGGTTTTCACTAGGTCAACATTAGGCACTTAGGAGGACCAACTTAAGTCAACCAAGGATCTAGTTGTCCTGTAATCACCTATTGTTGATGGGACCACTCGATTTTCAAGAAAATGGAAGCTACACATGTTGATGAGTGCATAACTGTTGCAGCTAATTGTGAGTCCCATGCATTTATGTTGGGACCCATAGTGGTAGTTGATATGGATGTGGTGAAACTAATGTCCTTGGGTTTCTTGGACAAACCACGACAACCAAATCTGCATGTGGCATCGACGTTGTCACTTCCAGTTATGCAAGATATGAGAAGCATACAATATGCTCATGAAGAAGAGGAAGTGGTTATGGTGGATGGAACTCCTCTTACCTTATTACTTAATGAAGGTAGGTTTGAGTATTATGTTTATCGTTATAATGATAGTTTTTAATGATACATCTATTCTTTCATGGAATGTTTGCAGATTCACAAGTAAAAAATGTCAGTCTTTCATGCGACAATTGTTGGTGCAATTTAAAACTTCTCTAGTGTTTTATTTTTGAAACTCATGTCTCTTTTGTATCTTCTAAAATGTTTTAAGATAAGGAAGAATTTGTTTCAATTTCTGTGGTGGAAGCTTATGGTCATTTTGGGGGTATTTGGGTTTTACAAGCTATAAGATGTGGGTTCTAGGTACATGTTTTAGGTGTTATGAACTAGTGTGTTACTTTGTCTCTGGTATCTAGGGGTTCCTCTTGGTGTATTTTAGTTGTTTATGCAAGCCTGTCATATCCAAAGACAGGATGAGATGTGGTCTCATTTAGCCGAGTTGAGGAGTATTCTTTCCCCTAAGCTTTATTAGGAGATTCTAATGACGTCCTTTTGGAGTTTGAGCAAAAATGAGGAGTTTTGTCTCAAGTTAAGGTTGAAACTTTTGAATGAAGATTGAACAATTGTGGTTTGGTGGATATGGAGTTTTCTAAGAGTAAGTTTATGTGACAACAACCTTGTAAAGGGGAATTTTTGATCTTTCACAAATTGGATAGAGGGGTCTGTGATTACCAATAACATTTGGGCTTTCATAAAGCCACTATAAAGCATATGGTTCGTTCCCAATTCGATCATAATCCCATTCTTCTTTGGTGTCATCACTTAGTTGCTTATAAGGATAATCGCATCTTTCGATTTCAAGAGTCCCAATTTACCCATCCGAAGTATAACATGGCATAAACATATGAGTAATGTTCCTTTTTATTTTGATAAGGTCATGCAGGATTCTATTAAGTTTAATCAAGAGGTTTTGGTAATATTTTTTTTTGAAAAAAAAGGTGTTGGAAGCTCGACTTTGAGGTGTTCAAAGGTGTTTGGAGGTGGTGGACTTGTTGAGGCTTATTACTCTCCAAAAGGACCTGTTGCACAAATACAAGCAAGTTCTTTTTCAGGAGGAAACATTCTAGTTCCAAAAATTCAAAGAACATTGAATTAGATCAGGAAGCAGGAATACTAGTTTTTTCATGCCCAAATAGTGGTTAGATGGAAGCAAAATAAAGTTCATGGGTTGTTTATTGCTTTAGGGGAGTGGTGCACCAACCTTATTGCATTACAAGAGGGTGATTGCAACTTTTTTTTTTCTTTCAAGATTTGTTTTGTACTACGGAAAGGACGGGGCACTTAGATCTTCCTTTTATGCCATGTGTTCTATTTACCGAGGTCAAGTCAATGCTTCTTGAGTTTGTATCCAAGGAGGAAATTTTTCGAGCCTTTATGTTTATGAAATCTTACAAGGCATTAGGGCGGGATGGTTTTCAACATGTTTTTTTCAAGATGTATCAGAAAGTAGTAGGGGATTATGTCTGGCAGTTCATGAAGAATGCATTTTTTGTGTGGATCTTTTGACCTAAAGGTAATTGAACCTTTGTTGGCTTTTATTTTGAAGGTGGACCACCCCACTACCTTTAAGGAATTTAGACCCATCACTTTGTGCAATGTGATCTACAGGTTGATCTCAAAGGTCTTGGTGAATAGGTTATGACCCTTTTTATCCGATCCAAATAGTGCTTGCTAAGTTTTATGATGCATTAGGCCATGAGGTTAGCACCCACAAGTCCAAAGTCTTTACTTTGGCCAAGGTTCTTCACAGTAGAAAGGAGAAATTGATTACTATCACCAATATTCAATTTACCACTAATTTGGGTAAATATTTGGTACCTTTTGTTAATATTGCTGATACTCTTTGGAAAGTCTCAAATGTTTGGGATGAGGGATGTTGGAAACTCAATATGTTGCATACCATTCTTCCCGATCCTATAATCAAGCTTATGACTTCTAAGAGTCTTTTTTTAATGGCTCTTATTCCTGATGATTGAATGTGGTCCCCTTGCATGTCTAAACAATACACACCAAAAAGTGCTTATAACTAGTTGAGAAATAGAAAAGATGTGTTAGAAGTATCACAATAGTGGTCTTGGATTTGGATGGTGCTGAATGTGGATGGGAATTTTAGTTTGAGAGCTGGTAAGACAAGTTTCAGAGGACTAGTGAGGAACCACTTGGGCGATTTCTTGCAAGGATTTTATAGGAGTTTGCTCATCCCATTGTGCGGATTGAGATAGTTGTGGTGCTTTAAGAGCCCAACTTGTTTAAAAACCCTCCTTGGAAAGTTGTCCCTTGGAGTGGATGATGTGTTGTTCTCCTCTAGGACATGGTTGGTCTCGTGTGTGGACATGACCGTTATGGATTAAAATGTAACCCCAAAATGAGCCGTTCTAATTTAAGAACGAGTCGTTCTACATGTGAATTTTACACATGACGAATGAGTACAGAACGAGTCGTTTCAGATTCGAAACAGGTCGTTCTGGCCACTCTAGACTTCTATAAATAGGCCACATGCGTGCAGTTAAGGAAAAAAAAGGGAGAACTTAGAGAGAGGTTTTAGAGAGAAGTTTTAGAGAGAAGGACTCTAGGCTAGGAAGCTTGCTTTTGGAAGATTGAAGTTCCCGGGTTGAGCTTTGAAAGGAAATTCTGCTTCTTCTTAGTTCTTGGCTATTCTGAGTCAATCTTCAGGTTAGGGAGGCTTCATGCATTGTTTTCCTTGAAATGGTTGAGTTTTTGGGTACAGATTGAGTTAACAAGTTGGGTTTTTGTTGTTTGAAAGAAAAAGAGATGATTGATTTTAAATTAGTGGTTGCATGTAGTTGTTCTTGTGTTTTAGAAGTTGTTTATAACGTGGTTAAGTTGCTAAGTTTCCTGATGAAGATGAGTTGAGTAGTTGTTGACTTAAGTTGTTCATATGTTGTGTATTTGGTGAAAATAAGTTGTTTACATGTTTATTGTTGAATTATTAATAAATTGAGATGTATAAGTTGAAGTAGTTTATTGTTGTAAAGTTGTTTAAAGTTGTTAAGTTGCATTGAGTTGATTTAAAGTTGTCGGATGACTATTGTTGTAAAATTGTAAAGTTGGCGACATATGGTGAAGATATATGTCCTATGTTGAGATACATAGTACTAAGGTGATAAGTTGAAAGTTGTTTTAAAGTTGAATCCCTTAGTATTGTGTGGGCGACATGGAAGTAGTCGATCCATGTCATGGGTGAATGACCAATTTGAGTAAGGTATATAGTTAGAGATGTAGTCTTTGACCAGGTACTAGAGGGTGAGTGGTACTTGGATGGTAGTGGGTGAGCTAACTCCATATGTGGATTGGTTATGCAAGTCAAGGCCGTGGTAGGCCCATACCCAAACCCTTCTGCCTTGACAGTAGTACTGGACTTCCGAGTCTAAGTGGCACACTTGAGCAATCGCCTATTGTTGTGTATACTTGGTTCTCTTCGGAGTTCCTAACGATGTCCTATACCTGACATGATTGAGATAGGTCAAACGTTGGATTTGGTAGGTTTTATGCCACCTAGACTGCTCAACCTCAATTGTTGGAGATCTCCTAGTTGTATATGCGTGACGACGCATTAGTTGATGTTGCATGTGTTGTTGCATTCAAGTTGCATATAATGTTATATGAATGAACAGATAGTTGAGTTATTGTGTTAAAAACTATGTGGTTGTGTTATGATGATGAGTTGTTGATCACTAGGATTAGAGGAAAAGTTTTCGAAGTTGCTCATCCCATTGTGCGGATTGAGATAGTTGTGGTGCTTTAAGAGCCCAACTTGTTTAAAAACCCTCCTTGGAAAGTTGTCCCTTGGAGTGGATGATGTGTTGTTCTCTTCTAGGACAGGGGTCCGATGAGGACGACTTTTTCTACGCCTACATGTGTTTGTTTGAGGATCTCGAGGTGACATTGCCCTTTGATGATTTTCAGATGGGCGTCCTCCGTGCTTTAAATGTGGCGCCGACCCAGTTACACCCTAATGCCTGGGAGGCCATGCAGGCGTTCCGGAATCTATGAGTGGATGATGTGTTGTTCTCCTCTAGGACATGGTTGGTCTCGTGTGTGGGCAAGGTCAAGGCACACGTGTATGAAACGACCATGGTATAGGGGTCAGGCCGAGCTATACCGATTACAAGCGGTCAATTTGAGTAAAGTACGATGTGTTGAAAATGTTGTTGCTATTAGATGATGTTGTATATCTATTGTTGTATGTGTTGTGTTGCTTTAAGTTGCAAGTTGAAAGTAGAATTCTATTGCTGTTTATTATATGTTGATGCTATTTTTTTATGATTATTGTTGTGAGCTTACCCTAGCATGTTTTCCCATGTGGTTGAGACTGCGATGACCATACCTTGATATGCGAGCAGATCAGGGGTAGGTGCTCTACTGGACTAGGTGAACTTCTTTTTGGTTGGGACTCAGGAGGAGGGCTGACGCTGTATTTAGCTGATTGGTAGCATTTGACTACCTAGTTGTTGTATAGGATATTATTCTCTACTTTCAGTTATATATATTATGAGACTTTTTAGTTGTGTATTCTCAATATATATATAATTGTTTAGTAGTGATATTTTATTTTATACTTGTATCTGGAGCTGTTTATTATATGTTGATGCTATTTTTTTATGATTATTGTTGTGAGCTTACCCTAGCATGTTTTCCCATGTGGTTGAGACTGCGATGACCATACCTTGATATGCGAGCAGATCAGGGGTAGGTGCTCTACTGGACTAGGTGAACTTCTTTTTGGTTGGGACTCAGGAGGAGGGCTGACGCTGTATTTAGCTGATTGGTAGCATTTGACTACCTAGTTGTTGTATAGGATATTATTCTCTACTTTCAGTTATATATATTATGAGACTTTTTAGTTGTGTATTCTCAATATATATATAATTGTTTAGTAGTGATATTTTATTTTATACTTGTATCTGGATGCCTGTGTCTAGTCGAGAAGGGTTCGTTTTCGAGTGCTCGGCCAAGGATCGTTCGGTTATGGCGCATATTGCGTGTGATGCTCGGCCTAGGTGCCTTAGCCGAGGACTGCTACCAATCAGCTAAATACAGCGTCAGCCCTCCTCCTGAGTCCCAACCAAAAAGAAGTTCACCTAGTCCAGTAGAGCACCTACCCCTGATCTGCTCGCATATCAAGGTATGGTCATCGCAGTCTCAACCACATGGGAAAACATGCTAGGGTAAGCTCACAACAATAATCATAAAAAAATAGCATCAACAATGAAAAATCATTTTAAATCATTGAAGTAGCAAATAAATTCATCAGCTGTTACTGTCTAAAACTGAATGCACAGTTACTGTTGTCTTGGATTGTGAACATATAAAGTTATCAGTTGAAATTTAATCATTGAATGAATTTATAAAGGAAGACTTTTATAATTGCTTTGGATTAAATCAGATTGCAATCAAATTTTATCTAAGTTTAAGCTTTAAAGAGACTTCATATGAATCTTGTATGGAGTACAGTGAACTTTTATGTGTTGATAATATTATTATTTGTAAATTATAGAGATATAAAGTCATTGAATCCCACTTAACATCTCAAGTTTTTACAAGAAATAATCCATTAATCCTTGAGAGTAAATGGTATCCATCTTACATGTTTGGTAGACATGTTTTGCTTAGGGTGTCAAATTTGTTTCTAGAACTAATGACCTTTTACATATTTGCAGACTGGGGCCCTTTAGTTGATGTTGTTGGTTATTGTTTCCTGAGCCTTGCATCAAAGTATCAACCTCGGGAAGACTTTGTCCATTGGATTAAAAAAGGACCACCACCTTTATATTTTGGGTTTGGGAGCATGGTATGGTAATTATACTTGAACTACAAGTCAAATTTTATGAACTGTCTCTGATAATCAGCTTTTTTCTTTCTTTGTTTTTTTTCCTGTAAATTTAACCTTTCTATTAGGATTCTACTACCTCTTATAGTCTTCTCTTAATATTATGATTGTATATGTCATATTGATCGGTATAAATGCTTTACAGTTATCATAGAATTATTGCAATGTCATAAGTTGAAAAAAAAAAGAAATTGTATATTAGTTGTGTATTTTGTATATAATCTAATATCCCTATTTATAGAGTAAATGACTATGTTTAAATAAGGAAATAACAATAATAAAGAAATAGGGAAACAAAATAATGAGGAAATAGGGAAACCAATATCTATAGCTATTTAGAAATATTCTAAATCTTCTAAATATTTGTGATATTTACAACGCTTCCCCTCAAGTTGATATCAATCATTCCCAACTTGCCAATAAGATCTTGGAATCTAGCATTAGGAAGTCCCTTTGTGAAGACATTTGCTACTTGAACTCTTGTAGGTATATGAGCTATAACTATAAGGCCACCATCCAACTTCTCTTTGATGAAGAGTCTATCAATCGCTATGTGTTTTCTTCTGTCATGTTGAACTAGATTACGAGCAATGCTGATAGCCAAATTGTTATCACAAAACAACTTCATTGGACCCTGGTAGGTCATCAAGAATAATTTTTATCCATAATCCTTCACATATGTCATGTGCCATAGCTCAAAACTCAGCTTTTGCACTAGATCTAACAACTACACTCTACTTTTTGCATCTCCATGTTACTAGATTCCCACCAAGAAACATGCAATAACCAAAAGTAGATCTTCTATATGTGACAAACCTTGCATAGTCAGCATCAGTGTATATCTCCATGGACAATGGACCTTCTTTTTTTAAATAATAATCCCTAGACTTGCCTTGAGATATTGGAGAATCCTCTCAATTGTCTGAAGGTCGCTCTCACGAGGGTCATGCATAAATTGGCCGACCACACTAACCGCATAGGCAATATCAGGCCTAGTGTGTGATAGATATATCAACTTCCCTGGTATTGAGATGTCTCTACTGGTGAACTTTCTTCACCTTCAATCTTGTGATTTTGCTCAATGGGCACCCCTATGGTCTTGCACCCATGTTTTCTTGTCTCTTTTAAATATTTCCTTTGAAAAATAAAGATTCCTTTTCTGGAGTATGCGACCTCTATTCCATGGAAATACTTGAGTTTTCCCAACTCCTTCATTTCAAAATGAGTTAACAATTTTTCTTTTAGAATTCGTTTCTCTACCTCATCATCCCCTGTAATAATCATATCATTTACATATGTTACGAGAAGGGTGAGTTTTCCATTAGGAGAATATTTTATGAATAAAGTATGATCACTTTCACTTTGTTTGTATCCCAAGGATTTCATGGCTTGAGCAAATCTTCCAAACCATGCTCAAGGAGATTGTTTGAGGCCATACAAAGCCTTTTTCAACTTACACACTTTTTTTCCACCATGAGATTCAAATCCTAGGAGAATCTCCATGTAGACTTCCTCCTCTAGATTTTCATGTAGGAAGACATTCATAACATCAAATTGTTCTAGATCTCAACCAAAGTGGGTGGCTAGAGAGATAATGATTCTTACTATATTCATTTTTGCTTCAGGAGCAAATGTCTCCTCATAGTCAATGCCAAAGGTCTATGTGAACCCCTTGGCCACCAATCATGCCTTGTGTCGATCTAATGTTCCATCGGATTTACACTTCACTATGTATATCCATCTGCACCCTACAACTTTCTTGTTTTTAGGTATATCAACAATCTCTAAAGTTGAGTTTCTCTCTAATGCCTTCGTCTCCTCATTCATGGCTCTAACCCAATTTCTATCTATTAGAGCTTCTTGGACTAACACAGGTATTTTAATTGCATCAATGGCTACAATAAAGTTTCAATGTTGAACAGAGAGATGGTCGGTACAAACAAATTGAGAAATAGGATACTTGACACATGATCTCTTCCTTTTCATCAAGGTAATAGGCATATAATCTATAACTTTCTCATCATCATTATCATCCTTAGGGACATTTACCTCTGGTTTTGACAATTTAACTTGCTATGGGAGTAGAGTGGGTTTCTTTCACCTCTCATATTTCTTAACAAAGAATTGATATTCTTCTTTTGCATCATTGTGATCTTCCTTTGTTTCTTCTGCATCATTGATTAGTATCTTGGACATCCTACAAGGAAGAGGTAATGATCCAAAGACAGACTCAACTTCTAGAATAATCTCCGCCTAAAGTTGAGGGCTAACAAAGAAAGGTACGATTTCATGAAATGTGACATCCTTTGTAACAAAAAAACGACTATTGGGTCTAACTTGTCACAATGAGGATTGTGAGAATGAACAAATGCAACATACCCAAACACACGACATGAGAGACTTAATACTAGGGGAGAAGAAGAGAAAAGTGGCGTGTTCAATTGAACTAATAGCCTATAAGACATGAGTGGATAACCTGTTAATGAGATAAGTGGCAGTTAGGACAACTTCTCCCTCACAAACAACAGACATTTGAAAGAGTAGAGTTCTGACAACCTCAAGTAGGCGACGATTGTTTCTTTGTACTACCCCATTTTGTTGGGGAGTATTAACACATGTAATTCATGGATAATAGCTTGCTTTATAACAAACTTAGAAAATTCAAGATTAACATATTCAATTCCATTGTCTGACCGGATTCTTTTGATAAACTTGCTAAATTGATTTTTGACAAGACAAAAGAAATTGACAAATATTTGGCAAACCTCATATTTGTGTTTCATAAGGTATGTCCATGTTAGATGAGTGCAATCACGATGAATGTTGCAAACCATCTGACCCCAAAAACAGATTCAACAACAGGTCTCTATACATCAGAATGGACAAGATCAAAAGGAGAAACACTTTTATTATTACTAGGTAAAAAGGATGCATGATGGTGCTTAGAAACTTGACAAATATCACAAGTAAAATACTCGACAGACTCTTTTGTAAACAAATGTGAAAATAGATATTTAAGTAAACCAAATGGAGGATGTCTGAGATGCTTGTGATGAAGCCGAATTTGTGAAGTAGCCCAGGTGTTTGAGGTTGCTTGGTGACCGAAAGACATCTCATTTTTTTTTATTACTATCATCTAATTTATGTTACAAAAAATACAACTCACCTTACTCTTTAGCAATTAAAATTGTTTTTTCCCGAGATAAGGTCCTGAAAGACACAATGAGAATGAAAAAAATTTATGGAGCAATTTAAATCTCAAGTAAGCCGATGTTTAGAAATGAGATTATTAGCTCATTTAGGGACATAGAGAACATTGTGCAATGATAAAGATAATTGAAGTTGGATGTTACCAAATCCAACAATAGGAACATGATCTCCATTAGCAACTGTAATAAGTTGTTTATCATAGGCTTACGTGTATGTTGTAAAGTGTGTAAGGAATGGGGTCATGTGGTTTGTTGCTCCAGAATCAAGAACCCATGCCGAAGCTCAGCGTTCTGCCGGCGTAGCTCGGCCAGCTCTTGGGCGTCGGCTTCTCTTTGCCTTTGGATGGCTGTCATTTCCTCGCGAAGTGCTCGTAAGTCGTCTTGAAAGTTCGGTTGAGTTTGACTAGTGTTCGGCTGGACTTGCTGTATCACAGGTTCCGGTTGGGTCCGAGGCATCCCGTACGGGTAGCGCTCTTGGTTGGTCATGATGGGGTTGCTTTCGGGGTTAGGAATCGGGTGAGTCGTTGTCGATTGTCCTTTGCGCGTTGTTACCATATCTCGGTCTCAGTCGTAGAGTAAAAAGGGGCTGAAAATGTCTCTTCGGCCCCACGGTGGGCGCCAATGTTCCCGTGTTAGGAAACACACTTCAATTGTCCTTGTTGTAACGGGTCGGGTCTTAGGTCTCGGTCTTCTCGCTCCTATCCGGGTAGTCCGATGTGAAAGGGGGGTGTGCCTGCAAAGACACTCCAACGCTCAAGTAAGTGCTCGGCGTAATAAATGCGGTAGTTGAAAGTTGGTTACGTACCTTAAGAGGGGGTCTATTTATAGTGTTTGTTGTTGGGCCGTGATTAGGGATTGGGCCCCGGAAAATTAGGGGACTAACCTGGCGTATTATGCAAATTAACCCTTCCGTAATCATACTGGTGAATGTCGTCAGTTCGGCCGAGCACAACGAGATGTTCCATTTCGTGAATGGTCGGTGTGATCGGGTACACGGACTATTCGGTTATAAATTAGAGTGCTCGGCCGGGTCGGTTCCATACAATTGTTCGGTCAGGTCGGCCCATACGGTATAGGAGTGTTGGTGTCTCAACCATTCTTCATGCAAAGATTATGGCTTTTCTGGTTGGTCATCACTTTTGTTGGGATAATGGTTATAGGAGAGTGAAGTGTTACTTATATTCCCTAAGAACGATCCATCTTGTTCAAGAAGCGTTGCATTATTGCCATAGATATGCAAATGAGGTTGTTGTCATCAAAAACTATCTATAGGAGGAGTGAGACTGCTAACTCTTTCACATTTACTGGGAAGGGAATCGTAGTGTGAACTTTCTCACTAAATTGGGATCATCCTCTTCATAAAGATATGTCACTCTTGATGCTCCACTAGAAGGTCTTCGCATGCTACTTTAGGTTGATACTTTAGGCATGGTCTCCTTACATGCTCGAGTTTTTTCTTCTTTTTTTCATTATTATCAATTAAAACTCAAAGTTGCAGTGTTAAACATATAACTTCACATTTTATTTAAATATAAATATACATTACAATTGCTCTCTACTAGAATTTATATATTGAAACATTGAATAATTTTCTCATTTTCAAACTTTAAAAAATATCTCCATATATAAATAATTAAATAATTATTTAACCATTCATTTTCCATATGAAAGTTTTGAATTTTTTCTTTTTAAAAATAGAATATAGGTTTGGTTGGGCTATCTATCACCCATTTATCGACTTAATTTAACTATAATTAATATTGCATATATATATATATATTGTAAAATATATATCTTGTATCTCTCTATTTAAAAATAAAAAAAATTATGAGTAATTACTTAAAGGATGAAGGTCTGAAAATTGAATGTTATTGAAATAGAAAAAGAAAATAAATAAATAAAAAATAATAAAAATATGGTTTAGAAGTAATTATATGAGTAAATTAGTTTAAAATTTGTGTACACTAAAAAGAGATAGCTCCTAATTAATATTATAAATACTATAAAAAATTATTAACTTTGATTTTATAAAAAAAAATAGAAAATAACGGGACACTTAATTTTTAAGATGTTAAGTTGTGACACTATATTAAAACACGTATATAAAAAAAATTGGATATCAAAAAGCTAGTAGACGTATTTGCTCTCACACCAGTAGAGTTAGATCTGTCTTTATGCATAAATTTATTTTAATTTATCTTTCTATTTTTCTTTTGGAAATGTTTATGAAAAAAATTGATTGAGCGGCATATTTACATGTAGAAGAGCTTCCACATATTTGTATTTATTACATATATTTTAAATCAAATTTCATAATTTAAAAATGAATTATTAATGATTAAAAATAATTTTATATTATAATATAAATAATTTTTTATAAAATATAAAGCATAATTTATATGTTTAACAATATTTTTTTTATATAATATTTAAATAAATATATTTTACAAGTGAAACATATCGTGTTTATTTATATGAACAATTTATTATAAATTTTATTCATATATAATATACATTTAATCCGTACATTAGAAAAGTATTAATAAATAAATATTTTAAATTTATGATAAATTATTTAAATAATATCGTAAAATTTCAAACAAATTATTGAAATATAATTTAGATTTAAAATAAAAAATAAATAAAAAGACATGTGCAATTAAAAGTAGGAACTATAAAGATAAAAATCAAAGATATTTTAAAATAATTAAAATAAAAATTTAGTTAGACTCTGATTCCCTAAATTATTTATTTTAATTTTAATTTACGGTATAAAACACTCGCCTATAAAATGCCAAGCAAAATTAAGGAGGAAAGGTAAAGAAGTGATACCACTGAATACTGAACACTGAACACTATAAAACTCTCGTCTCTTCAGCTATTATTACCGCGCACTGCTCAAAGGCTTCAGTGCTCAATTTGTTTTGGCGCCAAAAATATCCACACTATGCACAAATATTTTCCCCGAATTTCCGCCGACCGGCCGCCCTCTGCGGCCAACCGCAACGTCGCCGCCGCCGCCAAGCAACCGCCGCCTGGTGATGTCAGAGGGACCGACACGCCGCCGGAGAAGGTACCGCGCCGGGTTTTACCTTCGAATTTCGCGCCAAACGAGAATAACTCCGGTCCCTCACTCTTCGATAGCATCATGCACAAATTCGTTAAGGTCGATGATAACGAAAGAGTTTCTCAGAGGTACGCTTCGTTATTAACCTTTTCCGATTCGTTAACTTAGGGTTTCTTGGAATGCGAGAAAACGGAATGTGTTTAGTTCGTACTTTGTAAGGTTTCGATGTTTTCGTTCTATTGCTTTCGTATTCGTTTGCGTGAAAGGTAAAGCACTGGTGCAATTTGTTTCGATAGTTTATTAGGAAATAATGCTAGTGGAATGTCATTGAACTTTTCAGTCAAGTTGATAGTACATTGTAGGTTTAATCGAAGCACGGAATAGGCATTTTTGGAATTTGAAATACTCGAACTGAATTTCAGTTTCTTAGCAAGTTAGACAGTACTGAACAGCAGACGCCGTTGAAATTGGAACTGAAGCAGTTTCAATATCGTAATGGAAAGTGCTGCTTTTAAACCGTGTTTACTAGTATCTTATGCGCATTTTTTTTTTGCAGGAGCCACTTATTGAATGCAAGTTTGCCTAAATCTTCTCCACCAGTGGGAATACGTGCTTATTTTGATCGTAAAGGGGTGAACAAGGAAGAAGCAGCTTTTCAACCTCTGGTGAAACCTCAAAATAATGCCGTGAATTTCAAGGAAAAGGCTAATCAGGAAAACATTGCGCTGGTTGAAACTGGCAATGATGTTGCTGGACCAGAAACCCCGGGGATGCAGCCTCTTGCTTCTCATGTGAAGAGAAGTCGCGAGGATGGATCCAAGTTTAGTTCCTTGCTGAATTCTGGCAAACGAGTCAGATTTCTCGAGGATTCAATGGCATTGCACATGACTAAGAAGGAAGCAGAAGTGGCAAACAAGTTTGAATGGCTTGATCCTTCTCGAATCAGGGATGCTAATGGAAGAAGGTTGAATGATCCTTCGTATGACAGGACAACACTTTACATTCCTCCAGAAGTTTTGAGAAAAATGTCAGCATCACAGAAACAGTATTGGAGTGTCAAATGTAAATATATGGATGTTGTGCTATTTTTTAAAGTGGTTAGTCAATCAAGCTCTTTGAATATTGAAGTCTTAATTCCTCTATTGCCTGTGGTTTATTTGTATTTTTTTTATACATAACCTTTAGTTAGTAATAGTATCCCACAATTAATGATCAATGCAGGGAAAATTTTACGAGCTTTATGAAATGGATGCTGACATTGGCCATAAGGAGCTTGATTGGAAAATAACATTAAGTGGTGTGGGAAAATGTCGGCAGGTGATTTAAAATTTATATATATATTTTGGTTCTTGACCTGTTTTCCTGTTAGTTTATCTCTTCAGTGTGTGGTTTTAACTTGTTGGTTCAGGTTGGTATATCTGAAAGTGGGATTGATGATGCTGTTCAAAAGCTGGTTGCACGTGGGTAAGGATGGCATGGATTTGATTTGATAGTTGGTACTATATTTATTATATACCAAATGGTGATTTTGTGGACCATATAGATCATTGTAGGCCATAGCTAATTCTAGAAAGATTGGATTATGTGTTAAATCTCAATAGCAATTTTACTTGTTAATTTCCTAATTAACTTGTAGTTTTAGCATGCTGCTTTCATTTTGAAGGTATAAGGTTGGACGAGTGGAGCAATTAGAGACATCTGAAGAAGCAAAAGCTAGAGGAGCTAACTCTGTAAGTTCTCCCATCCTTGCAGTTACACGGTTACCTTGCTTCAGAAGGTTCATGTAGATGTTTTCAACATTTGGCTATGCTTGATGAGTTGTGCATTATCCTTCAACAAATTGTATTTTTATTCTGTAGCTTACAGTAACTACATGAGAGATTAGTCCAGGTTTCTATTTCTTCTGTTAATATTCTGAATCTCATGTTTTATTGAATCCAATACAAAGCAGGGAATTTCTTCGGAAGTTTGAAATTGATATTGGGGGCTGTAAACTTGACATGACACACAGTTGTCATTTGAAAATGTTTCTTTTTGTTTTGTTGATTAAATTATTATAACAGACTTCAGGAGTGTTTGTGTAATATTGTATCCATTATCTTTTATGCTTTTTGAATTGACTGGTTTTTTGCATGTGTGACCCTCACTGCTGGATTGCAGGTTGTTAAGAGAGAATTAGTTCAGGTAATCACTCCATCAACCAATGTGGATGGTAATATTGGTCCTGATGCTGTTCACTTACTTGCAATAAAAGAGGTTCTTACTTCGCACTGTTACTTGGTTTTCATATGCTATTATAGTTATGTATGATGGTGATTGGTGAATTAAATGTTTTCTACAGGAGAGCAATGGCTTGGATAATGGTTCAGTTGTGTATGGATTTGCTTTTGTTGATTGTGCTCGGCTTAGATTTTGGGTTGGCTCTATAGACGATGATGCATCCTGTTCTGCTTTAGGGGCTTTATTGATGCAAGTATGCTCCCAATACCCTTTCTTTTGCCAATTCCTGATTTGTATTTAGTTTCTGAGAATGATCATTTGAATTTTTCCAATTATTAGCTAATTTGAATCTGGGAATTGGATTTTAGGTGTCACCCAAGGAAGTTGTGTATGAAAGTAGAGGTGAACATTTAGAAGTCTTATTGCTTTGCCTTTAACTTGAAGCAAAATGCTGGCTACACAGTATTTGATACATTTTTTTATTGACACTACTAATGGGTGAATTTTATGTGAGTTGCTCTGAATAACTTGAGCTGGTGATCCCACTTTTTATTTATTTGATCTCACAAAAAATCACCCAATAATAAAAAATTGTGTTGGAAATAATGTATTAAGGAGTGTTACTAGCATTCCTCTTGACTTGAATGCACTTCAATTCTAAACTTTATGTCTTCATGTTAAAATATGATGTTTTACAGGGTTGTCCAAAGAAGCTCAAAAAGCACTTAGGAAGTTCTCCTTAAATGGTGAGATGTGATCCTTCATTATGGTTAGGGGTACACTAGCATAGCATGATATTGAAAGCATTCTAGAATTTAAATGGGTGTTTCTCCCACTTTATTTACTATGCTTTGCCTTCGAAGCTGTATGTGAATTACAACACTAGCTGAAAAATAATCATTTTGCAGTTTTGTGCAATACGTTAGCAGAAAACATCTAGTGGTGATCAATTATTGTGACCTATGTTATTCCTTGGTGGAGCTTGTTTTGGCTTGACTTAAATGATAAGCCATGTTTTAATATTTTTATTATAAAGTGTACTTTATAATGACCTACACATTTAATCCTTCTACTGTATCCCTATGATATATATATATATATATATATATATATATATGTGTGTGTGTGTGTGTGTGTGTGTATGTATAAAAAACAAAGAGCTTCCATAGGAATCAGGCTGCCTATCCCCTTTTTGGAAATATGCCAGCTATGGCATGGATATTACCTTTGTAATACTGTGAATGGCTATATTTGTACATTTCATATTATGTTTTATGTGCTGAATTTCTTCTAATTTGTTGTTTGAGTGAAAAAAAGATTATGCTCTTACTATACATGATCTCCTGTGTATCAACTACAATGTGAATAATTTGAGAAATGTTGCATTAGAAATAATTTGGAGTTTGCAAATTTTTGCTCTTTGTTGCATTTAGATATTTTAGCATAACATCATCTTTTTATAGCATAAGGTTTTCAAAATATTTTGTTTACTGTGCTAAGTTGAATTTGTTCATTTTAAATTTTGAAAAGCATCCTTGAATCTCATAGTTGGTTTCTGCTCCTCTTGCAGGTTCAGCAACAATGCAGTTCACTCCTGTGCAATCAACCACTGACTTGCTGAACTCTGAAATTAGGGATTTAGTTTACTCAAAGGGATACTTCAAAGGCTCGTCTCATTCACTTGATCATGTACTGAGCAATGTGATTCATCGTGAAATCACCTTGTCTGCTCTTGGTGGACTGATTGGTCATCTGGATAGATTGATGGTACACTTATATGCTTAGAATGATGTTCTTTTTGAGAGGGTTAACACTAAAAGTATCTGCATGCATGTTATTTAGTATAATTTATCTATTCCACTTTTCATACAGTTAGATGACATCCTACAGAATGGGGATTTATATCCATACCAAGTTTATAAGGGTTGCCTCAAAATGGATGGTCCAACAATGATAAATCTAGAACTCTTTGTCAATAATGAGGATGGTGACAAATCAGGCTAGTACTTGTCCTGGCCTGGCACTCTTAACTTTCCAATAAATTTTCATTGGAAATTTCAGTGTGAAATCAAGACATCTATTTTGCTTGAGTTTCAGGTTCATTGTACAATTGTCTTGACAAATGTGTAACTTCATCTGGAAAGCGTCTTCTTAGGAACTGGATCTGCTGTCCATTAATAGATGCTGAAATAATTAACAACAGGCTTGATGTAGTGGATGACCTAATGGCTAACCCTGAGACTCTGTCACATATTGCTCAACATCTTCGCAAGCTTCCAGACTTGGAACATTTGCTTGGCCGAATTAAGTCCAGCCTTCAATTATCAGGCCCTCACTTACTGCCATTGTTGGGAAAGAAAATATTGAAGCAGAGGGTGAGTTCTGCTACTGTTTTTCATGTCAATTTTTGTAAAGGACATGCTTATTATTTTAGTCTGATTTCTGAACAATTTTTCTTTACTCATTTTGGAGCCAACTTCTCATTTTAATACCATGATACTAGTGTCTGTCATGTCTAAATTACTTAGTCACATGTTTCATGTGATGAAGAATGGAGATTGGAGTCTGCATTGGTTAAAAGGAAAAATGTGGCTATTACATAAACAGTGATATTGGTATTGGAAAAATTTATCTATAGTTTATGGGAAAAAATTCTGATCATATTGTTTGTTGAAAATTTGGTTTTCCAATCTGGATAACCTATATATACTTGTTCAGGATTTTTTGACTAAGTAATTTATGATATGTTATACAGGTGAAAGTGTTTGGATCACTTGTGAAGGGCCTTCGGACTGCTTTGAGTTTGTTGCTTCTTTTACAGAAAGAGCAGCCTTTAATATCATCTTTGACCAGAGTTTTTAAACTTCCAATTCTGACTGGTAGTAATGGGCTCGATCAATTTCTTGCTCAGTTTGAAGCAGCTGTAGATAGTGACTTCCCAAATTACCAGGTAACTTTCTTCCCTATTGGGTTTTCAAATAATTATTAATAATATGAACTGAAATTTCCTCCACATATTTTTCCCCGTCCAAGAACTATTCCTGACATATTTTTTATTGAAATTGTTAATTTGGAATATAGATTGGTTTAAAATTGGAATGCACCATTGCTGGGTGGGCTGCTATTTCAATTGGAAATTAGAATATAAATCATATGCTGCTGGTTACAGTTTTTGTTATTTAGAATGAAGTAAATTTTATTTAACAGTGTAAAGATTGAATGAAGTAAAGTTCACTGAGAAGTATTTCTTCTCACCTGTCACTTCTACTAATGGTGAGGGATATATTTATAGTTTGCAATATTGGATATATGATTGAAATGGAGGTAATTACTTTGCATAACACAACCAAATCCAAGACTGTGGAGTGTGAAAAAATTTGATATGCATTGATCTGCCTGATGACCTTGATAGAGGCAAGCAGCGAACTCAACTGTCCATTGGCCCAACACAAACAAACAAGCATTCTGCCAGACAACAGTGCAGGGAGTGGGAGATTTAACACTGCCAATGGCTGGTAGAGCGAAATTGGGTAATGTGGGGATTGGCCAAGTAGGAATTTGTGATTTTGCTCCTGGAAAGCTTGGGGCTTACAAGCCAAAATGTTTAGGATGCCAAAAATGATATAATGGTTAGCGAATTTATGCATGAAGGCATAATATAACATTCTGGTTTGGGGAGAGTCCAAGCTTCGAACAGTAATTGGCACTTGAATTTGGGGCTTAGGCGTTTGGGTTTGCCTGGCCTGATTCTGGTCATATTCTAATTTCACCTAGGCTCGGCCAAATGAAAATTACTAAATCTGTATTTTGCTTACTCAGCCTACTTGGACTAGTTTATTAGGTTTGGTTCATTTTGACAGTGTTATAACCCTTTTAGCAAGTTTAATATATTACACGAAGATCTTTCTAATTGTTTCAAAATCATCATCATAATTATTATATCAATTTCTACTTTGTTTTTGTTAAAAGGATAAAAAGTTTGCAGCACTGTTGATTCTTACTGTAGATAATTGACTTTTTAGCAGTTTGATGTATGGGAAATGTTGATTTTCAATTTCCTGTATTATATGGTAATGTTTGTGAACATATATGCAGTGGTGTATTATCTTCGAGTGAATGACTAACTGTATAGTTGGTGCTAGAATCATGATGTTACAGATTCAGATGCTGAAATACTCACAATACTTGCTGAATTATTTTTGGAGAAAGTTGCTCAGTGGTTTGAAGTTGTTCACGCCATCAATTGCATTGATGTATTAAGATCTTTTGCTGTTACTTCTAGCTTTTCCTCTGGAACTATGTCTAGGCCAGTCATAATGGCATCAAAAGCTACAAGTAAAGACAATGGAGGAACTGTGCTCAAGGTGAAGGGACTATGGCATCCATTTGCCCTTGGAGATAGTGGATGTTTGCCTGTCCCCAACGACATAGTCCTTGGTGAGAATGAAGATGGGCCTCATCCTCGCACTTTGCTTCTCACTGGACCAAACATGGGTGGAAAGTCAACACTTCTGCGTGCCACGTGTCTAGCTGTTATTATGGCCCAGGTTTTTCCCTTTTCTCCGGTTTATCTGTTTGATTAAACTAGACATCACTGTTGGGTAATTAATTGTTAAATAGACGATTTTGATCTCACTGGCTGGCTACATGTATATGAACAAATTAAAAACGAAAACTGTAGCACATCATTTCCTTCTGATAGGGAAAAGTATTGCACAAATTGGAAACAGAATGGTCATTTTATTTAAACAGATATTGAGGGTGTTGATGCATGATGATACTATAAAACCACATGGGAAGTGCATGTTACATTTTATGGTTTACTGTCAGATTGTTCTGACGCCTCTTTTATAACATGCATCCAATGTCTTTGCAGCTAGGCTGTTATGTGCCATGTGAAAGTTGCGTTCTCTCAGTTGTTGATATCATCTTCACCCGACTTGGAGCAAAAGACAGAATCATGACAGGCGAGAGTGAGTGGTCTAACAAAAGCAAAATGTGCTTGATGAATTCGTGACATGCTTGCATCGACATTAATAGAGTTTTTCAGAACTCGGAACTGTGGTCTCAACATGTGAGTTTACCGGATTGATTTTATGGATTGCTAATACTGGCAAATTGTCTTTTCTAGGTACCTTCTTTATTGAGTGTACAGAAACTGCATCGGTGCTTCAGAATGCTACTCAAGATTCTCTTGTTATCCTTGATGAATTGGGTCGGGGAACCAGCACTTTTGATGGCTATGCGATTGCATATGCAGTGAGACTCTACTCTTTACTAATCTTTATCATTTTCTTTAATGAAATTTTTGGTTCTAGTTTTTTAAGTACTCTGCATTTCTATACTTTACTGAGTGGACATGCTTAAAAGTTAAACACTTAAAAAAAGTCAAATAGAAAAACAGTGTAACAATGGCTGTTTCTCTGTAATGGGGTCATCCATCGAAAGAAAATGACCTTGCAACATATGATCGTGTTAAGGTTCTTCTGTTATCCTGTAATACATTTTAGGTTGTTATTACTATCACCTTTATTGGTAATGTTTCAATATTCTTGTCTCGGTCAATAATTTCTGGATGTGTACAGGTATTCCGGCATCTGATTGAAAAGGTTAACTGTCGCATGCTATTTGCCACACACTACCATCCGCTGACGAAAGAGTTTGGGTCTCATCCACGCGTAACACTGCAACACATGGCTTGCGCTTTCAAGTCAAAATCTGATACCTATTCCATGCGTGATCAGGAACTAGTTTTCCTATACCGGCTTGCCTCCGGAGCATGTCCAGAGAGCTATGGGTTGCAAGTTGCCCTCATGGCTGGAATCCCAGAAAAAACGGTAAACGTTGCTTCTAAGGCCAGCCAACACATGAAAAAATCAATTGGACAAAGTTTTAGTTCAAGCGAACAGAGATCAGAGTTCTCAACCCTTCACGAAGAATGGTTAAAGACCTTGGTGTCCATCTCACGAATAGAGGATTGTAGCTCTATTGATGAAGACGTTTTAGACACGTTATTCTGTGTGTGGTGCGAACTTAAAACCTCATTTATATCAGGAAAGTAGAGAAGATGTGGGGCGCGATAGGTATGGCAAGTAGTCTGATTTCAATAGTATACAACTGCATGTAAAATTATTCTTAAGTAGATTTTTGTTTTCATTTTGGGAAATAGAAGGCTTCCTTGTTCGGGAGAAATTTGGACGAGAAAATAATGCCATGGAAAGGTTTGGAGCATGCATCTATTATTTTGAATAATGATCATTTTACATTCTTGCGAGGTGTGAAATGTGTGCCAGGAAGAGAGGTAGAGAGAAAATAAGATAGTAAAATAACGAGAAAGTAAAAAAAATAGGCTAAAAACTTATTTTGGTCCCTTATAATAATTGTTTGTTTCAATTTAGTCCTATTTTTATTTTTGATTTCAATTTGGTCCCAAATTAATTAATTGGTTTCAATTAAGTTCCTAATAAATTAATTGGTTTCAATGTGAGATTTTCGTCCAAATTTCTTTAACGATGTTAATTGCACGTGGATGTTACATAGATGCATGGGTAGATGTCACGTGGATGACACGTAGATGCAAATTTTTTAAAAATATCTGGAACCAGAACGTCCGTTCTGAAACTAGAACGGACCGTTCTGGATGCACTCTTGGTGTGTTAATTTTGCATCTGAAATGGCCCGTTCCAGATGCAAAATTAACACACAAAGAGTATAGCAGAACGGGCCGTTCTGAAACCAGAACGGGCCGTTCTGAAACCAGAACAGCCTGATCTGGATTCAGCACGGGCCGTTCTGGATTCAGAACAGCTCGTTTCAAAACTGAGAATAGAATATTATTTATTAATTTTATTAAAAAATATAATAATTTTGAAAAATATTTTTTTATGGTAAAAATTTTAAAATTACTTATTTTTATAAAATACAATTGCCTTATAAATAGAGTAATAACTTTTTCTTTTTCTCTTTCTATCTGAAGAAATATTTAAGTGTCACTTTATAATTTTTTGTAACTTATTTAAAATTAGAGGAATAAAATGATAAAAATTAATAGGATAAACATAATAAAATTATTAATTTATTTTCTTTTAGTATCCTCTAAATTTTTACATTCATTTAAAATAAAAATATTTTATATGTTAATTTGAATTAATTTAACGAAATATTATACGATTTTTAATTTTTTAAAATTTTTTATAAATTTGATCTATACATGAAATTTTTTTTAATTTAACAATTAAATTCTTAAAAATTTGATATAGAACATTAATTATTAAATAAAATAAATCTATCAAGACTTATTATTGAAGTAAGTAATTTTTTTTTCATTAAAAATGAAGATAATTTTACCACAAAATAAAAAATAATTAAATAATAAAATAAAAAAATATAAAAATATTAATATATTTATTATATTAGATATAAAAACATAATTAAAATATAATTAATAATATATATTTTATAAAATTATTAATTTTATATATAAAAAAAGAATGAAAAAAAATTTAGTGGGGGCAAGTGCACTCACTATGAATAACTTAGATCTGTCCCCGCATATGGTTGTGTGGTAAAATGTTAGTCCTGTGTATCCTCTTCCTTTACTTCAGGTTCTACCTCTTCGAGAACATGTTGTTGAGGTACATCGTTAATGACTTCAAGGAAAAATACCATATCATTTCATCCTTTACTGGTTTCAATTAGGTCCCTAATAAATTAATTGGTTTCAATGTGGGACTTCCGTCCAAATTTCTTTAACGGTGTTAACTGTTGGCCACGTGGATGCCACGTAGATGACACGTGGATGCCAATTTTTTTTGAAAATACCTAGAACCAGAACGACCCGTTCTGGTTGCACTTTTAGTGTGTTAATTTTGCAACTGGAATGGGCCGTTCCGGATGCAAAATTAACACATCAAAAGTTCAACCAGCCCGTTCTGGTTTTAGAACGGGCCGTTCTGGTTCCAGTTGTTTTCAAAAAAATTTGGCATCCACGTGACATCCACCTATGCATCTACGTGGCATCCACGTGGCGAACAGTTAACTCCGTTTAAATAATTTGGACAGAAGTCTCACATTGAAACTAATTAATTTATTAGGGACCAAATTGAAACCAATTAATTAGTTTGGGACCAAATTGAAATCAAAAATAAAAATGTGACTAAATTGAAACAAACAATTATTATAAGGGACTAAAATAGGTTTTTAGCAAAAAAAAAAAATATGATAAACAATAAGGAGAAAGAATGGATGTTAGCGGTAGAGGTCTTTCCTCTCCGTTACCTTGTTGGGTCAACCAATTGCATTACTTCTTTCGGCGGGATTCTTTATGAAAAAACATTATAGTTGTGCTGTACCCTTCTCCGCTCCCCCCGGCTGTGCCGTACCGGTGAACTGAACTCGAGTTCGTTCTATTCGTTATAACAGAATGCTAACCTAACATCGCCCTTGGTGATTGGCCAATTCCAAAGAGCTCTACTAATGAAATAGGGTCCTTTTCCTGAGGTATTTCATTTTTCACTTCTATATCCATACCCTACTAACTTTCCTTCATCTTCCATTCTCTGTTGTTGATCGTTCCCCAATCAGAAAGAGTTGGTCACAATCTAATACTGCTCCTATTTTTTATTTTATTTTATGCTGATTGTTCAAATGTTTGCCCCTCTACTTTAAATGATTTATAGCTTCTCAGTTCTTGTTTATTAAAACCTCAATTATTTCTTTACATCAGAAGCTGACAAATGAAGAGGGTGGGCGGTCTGTTTCTCTGTTTTTTTTTTTTATTATATATAATCAATTGCTCATGCTTATTACTTGTTACTATCAATCTGATGCTACAGGATGTTACTTTACCTGAAGTTAAAATTGGTGATATTGATGCTAGTACGAAAAAGCTGCTTATTTGGAGTTATAAGCTTCAGAATTATTGGAAAGCCTCCCCTTATCATCTGGAGGAGAGAACCTCGAAGAGTAAGCATTTAGTTGTTTCTACATGTATATTGTGTGAGAAGGCCACATCAAAATGATTTACTTTAGTGCATTATTATATTATTGTTTCATGTACGATCTTTTACTTAATTATGCTTCCCACATTAGCTGGGAATGAAATGCTCCTGAAATGAGTAGGTTTACACCATAAAAATCCAGGCATACTGTTTCTAAAACATTTTCATTGCTATCATGGAACCATATTTGTCCTAAATATCTGCCTCCTCTCTTCCCCAACATGCATACTATTATTTATTTTTTTTCTGGTAAACTTCGTTGGAGTACATTAATCTTCTTGTTTTCTCATCAGAGAGGCAAAGGATGCACATAGCTAGATTTTCTGACAAGAAGGGAAATGATTTTACTCGTGACTCTCTGTCACAAGTTTTGATGTTCAAGGAATTTCCTCAGGAGTTGGTTCAAGGTGTGAATAAGGGAATAATGGGGTGTTGAGGCAGTGGTTACTGTTAACAAATGATGTAAACTTAAATTTGTGTTTTCAGGTGCATCTAAGCAGACGTCAAGAAGAAAAAAGTTTCGATGGAACCCGGAGTCAGGTTTAATGATTTTTCATTTGACCTTTTTCCTTTCATGGGGTATTAGCTATTGGTTATCTGCTAATGTGAATGTGTTTTAGATCAGCACAAAAAAAGTTTAATCATCCTAAATAGCTCCCATTATCTTGAAGGAACTTTATGAAATTCTCATTACTTAAAATTTTATAAATGGTGTTCTATCGAGAAGTTTATGTACATACATATAGATGCAACATTCTATTCTAGATTGTAATATTGTTGTATAAATGTTTGATAGCTTCTGCTGCTGAAACTAGTTTTTATTGGGATATTATCTATGTCTGTCTACAAAGTTGATCATTGTTTACCTATAGTAATGATATTAAGCCTTATATTTGTCTTTAGACTGATTAAGATGTTTGTGTGACAGGGAATAATAAACTTGATTTCCTTGAACAACAAGAGGAAAAAAACAAGGTAGAGCGCCTGTTTAGAGCTCTATGCATGTGTGTGTGATAACAAGGCACTAACTCTTCCATTTGTTTCATTATGGAACATGTTTAATTTGATGTAACTTACTAAGTTCAATATTTATTGTTACTGGATGGGAACAAGGTTTTAAATTGTGGCAGATGTACTAGTTGCGTGGCAGATGATATATATATATATATATATATATATATATTTGAATTCATTTCATGTTCATTATTACAAAAATAATTATTTAACATCATTATTTTCACTTTTGTGGTACAATCTTGTCACTCACAATGTATGAATCAACCATATCACTGCATTATCTCCATTTTTGGTTGTTGAAGAAAGACCAAGTGTATAGAAATTGCAGGAAAGATAGTAAAGGGTTATGTGATTATTACTTTGAATAAATAATATGAAAATGTTAATAAGTATCCTAAGTTAGTAGGTTCACTGCTTAAAGAAATTAAAAGTAGAACTTTTTATTACTGAAAAATAAAACAACACACTATTGTATAAATTTTACGGTATTTTTAAATAAATTATTTTATATGTTGATTTTTGAATTAGTGTCTTAAAGACATTGATTAGTTAGACCTTAATATATGTACTTTATTAATCATAAATTGTTAATGTCGGTTGATTTTCAATAATTATTTTAGATAATTTTACATTGATAGTGAATATTTGTTAAACTATTACTTATCAATCATACCAAAACAAAAATGAAAAGGTAATGAAAGTTGTGAACTAAATTTAGTCTAATTTTATTCGGAGTATTGTAGATCAAGAGACTAGTTACAAACAGAGAAATTCAAACATTGGCACTTGACAGACCGTGATTTTCCAAGGGACCAGTAAGTGATTATCACATTGGGGACAGGAAAGGGAATTTATTTTTTATATAAAAATTGTGTTATATTTCTATTTTGTAGTCGAATTATATACACGATTCATTGAATCGGTGTTATTTATATCTTCTGATAAAATATTTTTTAAAAGTCTATTGATATTAGCAAAAAAAAAGTCAAATACTTAAATTTTTCAAAACCTTAAAATTATATAGGTGACATTTGTGTTGATGTAAAATTCATCCTTAAGCCTTTATTTTTACTAGAATATCAAATCAACACGTCAGAAAAATGAAAAATGAAAAATTAAGAATTAATAATTTATTTTTGTTTATTTTGTAACTGTAAAAAAGAAAAGATTGATCAATGGTACTCCAAAATTTCGTTGAAGTAGCAGATTAGACTATTTTGTACATGCATGCAGAATTGCATGGAGAAGACACTTGCAACTTTTTCAACAAACATAACATTACTCCAAAACAAAATGCTACATCTCCTCCCAAATATCAATTTGTGACCATAGAAAAGTTATCAATAGAACAAAACAATAACAAATTAAATGTACGACTTCTTCAGCAAAGAATCCGGCAACCATTTTCCCGACGATTGTTTGTGTCCTCACACACACGAAACTGTCGAAAACTCCCTCGGCCCTTTCCTTGGTACTCGGTCTTCTCCAGTCTCACAGAGCAAAAGTAAAAGACGTGCAGGCCCGTAAGATGCAAGGTGACACGAACATTTCCCGAAGGTCGTAGAGGCTGATGACGCAATGGAGGACGCAGAAGATTTGACGAACGAGAGCGAGTCTAGTTCAAGCAAAAGGAAGAGAAGAGAACTAGGGCTATCATGCATGCTAAACACCGAAGTGGGAGCTGTCCTGGCAGTTATTCGTCGTCCAGAGTTCACCAGTCCCTACAACATGGCTCCCTCGGAGGAACACTACGACTCCTCCATCGTCACCTCCCTCCGTTCCCTTCGCTCTCTCATCTTCAACCCTAACCAGGAGTGGCGCACCGTCGACCCCTCCATCTACCTCTCCCCCTTCCTCGACGTTATCCAAAGCGACGACGTTCCCGCCTCCGCCACCGGCGTCGCCCTCTCCTCTCTCCTCAAGATTCTCAAGTTCCAGGTCTTCGACGACAAGTCCCCCGGCTCCAGGGAGGCCATGGAGTCCGTCGTCTCCGGAATCACCAGCTGCAGGCTCGAGAAAACCGACCCTGTTTCCGAGGACGCTGTTATGATGAAGATTCTTCAGGTCTTGACGGGGATAATGCACCACCGGGCTTCTACTTTGCTCACCGATCAATCTGTTTGCACCCTTGTCAACACCTGCTTTCAGGTCATCGCCTCCTTTCTAACCTTTCTTTTTCTCATCTTAATAATTTCTACTGCTTGTGTTCTATGCTTCTTAACTACTTTACGTATAATCTTAACTGCTGTTATTTCTTTCCCTTGAAATTAAAAAATTTAAATACTTTGCAACTATCAATACGTGATAATCCTCTGCTGGATAATTTTTTTTTGCAGTGATTTGACTCACTTAATAATATCTATCAGCTACTGAATTACCAACTATCGATGTTTTCAATCAATATTTAATTTAAGTTTTTCAATTTATGAATTAATTGCATATTATATACAACTTAATTGAGATTATTTGATATAGAATCACCTATAATTTGGTTAAATTGCACTTTCACCGTCTCTATTATCCAATTTACAATTTTAGTTCTCCAATATTTTATTTTATAATTTTAGTTTCTTAATTTTATAAAATCTCTAATTTTAGTTTCATCATTAAACATTTAATATTAATTGTGACATTATATTATATAACATCACAATTAATATTTAGGTTAACATCACTCTTTTAATTTTATTTTTAATTTTTTTATTATCATTTTATGAGATAAAAATGAAAATAGAAATAAAATTTAACTTTAAAATTATCAAAAGTTTAATAATCACAACATCCGTTAAATGTTAAGTCATAATAATCAGCATTACAATCTTTAACTGTTAATGATGATTGAAATCAAAATTGAAAATTCCATACATTGGAGACTAAAATTGTAAAATTAAAAATTAGAGAAATAAAATCACATAATAGACATCATAGAGAAAAAAAAAAGTGCAATTTAACTTTGTAAGAATTATTGGTGAAGTTATATATATTCAAATGGAGGGTATATAGTCTAATTCTTAGAAGTAGATGGAAACTGATTAAAATTATTGTTAAAACTACCAAAAAATAATTGGGAGGTCAAGAATGTTAATTTTGTTTCTGTATCTTTTCTTTCATAAATGACATTATCTTGCTAGTTAACAATATTAGAGGATTTAAAATACCACTTTCAGGTTGTTCAACAATCCGCGACTAGAGGAGATTTGTTGCAAAGAAGTGCAAGGTACACCATGCACGAGCTTATACAAGTTGTGTTCACGAGGTTACCAGATATTGATGAGGATAGAGAGGACTCAGAATCAGACATGGAGGATGGTGATGAGGGTGGTGGTTTGGAATCTGGCTACGGTGTTCGATGTGCCATTGACATATTCCATTTCTTGTGCTCTTTGTTGAATGTTGTGTCGATAGTTGAGGCAGATGGGTCTGGCTCTCACACTGCTGATGAAGATGTTCAGATTTTTGCATTGGTTTTGATAAACTCAGCGATAGAATTGAGTGGGGATGAGATAGGGAAGCACCCAAAGCTCTTGAGGATGATCCAAGATGACTTGTTTCACCATTTGATTTATTATGGAACATGGTCTAGCTCCTTTGTCTTGTCCATGATTTGCAGCACTGTCTTGAATGCCTATCACTTTCTCAGAAGGTTAGAGACATTTTAAGCAAAAAAAAAAAAAAAAAAAAAAAGAGAGAGAGAGAGAAGAAAAGCTTCGAGAGAGATGAGAAATATCATCCAATCTTTCTAATATTCTCTGGGTTAAAACTTATTAAAATCATAAATTTTAATAAATTTCACTATTAAGTTAAAAAAGAAATTCATTAAATACGACGTGTAAATAAAATTTATGATTTTTAATAAATTTTAATCAACAATACAAAAAATATTAGTAAAAAAGTGTTATTGACATTCCTTTACATAAATAAGATTTTTAATTTACAAAGAGTTAATATTAATAAATCCCAATTACATTTTATACTGAACTTAGTTGGGTATAATTTTTAAAGTAATTATTACAAAAGTTAAAAATTTTATTATACATATGATGAGATACCAACTTTACACTCTTAGTGCATTCTAATTATATTCTTTATTCTTACTGCTTGAGGGAGAGAGGTTGAAAAGAGTTTCATTTTTTTTATCTTTGATTTTGTTTTGTAGCTTTATTCGTTACCAACTAGAAGCTTTCTTTGGATATGTGCTGATCAGAATTGCAAGCTTTGGCAGCACAATTCCTCTTCAAGAAGTAGCAGTTGAAGGAATAATAAATTTCTGCAGACAACCAACATTCATCATGGAAGTGTATGCAAACTATGACTGTGATCCATTTTGTAGGAATGTGTTTGAGGATGCTGGCAGATTACTTTGCAAGCACTCATTTGCACTGAATTCTCATCTCACAAGTTTGCACATCCAAGCCTTTGAAGGCCTATTGATCATTATTCACAACATTGCAGATAACATTGACAAGGATGGTCCAGCATGTGACTTAGGTTCATACACAATTCAATTGTCTGAGTATAGACCCTTTTGGGAGGAGATGGATAGAGAAGACGACTTGGAAGCTTGGGTGGAACATGTAAGGATGAGAAGACTTCAAAAGAAGAAACTTCTGATTGCTGCAAACCATTTCAACAGAGATAACAAAAAAGGTCTTGAGTACCTGAAGCATGCCAAGTTAGTCTCTGATCCTCCAGATCCTAAGGCTTATGCTTACTTCTTTCGTTACACTCCAGGTGTAGACAAGAAAGCAATAGGGGAATATCTTGGAGACCCTGACACTTTCTACCTCCAAGTACTCAAAGAATTCACTGACACATTCCATTTCCAAGGCATGGTTCTTGACACTGCCCTTAGATTTTATCTAGAGAGTTTCTGGCTGCCAGGAGAGTCACAAAAGATTCAACGAGTAGTCGAAGCGTTTTCGGAGAGATTCTTTGATCATCAATCCTCAGACATGTTTGCAAGCAAGGACACTGTTCTAATCTTGTGCTACTCCCTCATCATGCTCAATACTGATCAGCACAACCCTCAAGTTAAGAAGAAGATGACAGAAGAGGATTTCATCAGGAACAATAGAGCAATCAATGCAGGACAGGATTTGCCTAGAGAGTACCTTTCTGAGCTTTATCAATCTATCTCCACGTGTGCATTTGCCCTTTCTCAAACCACTGTGTCACTAGACATGAGTCCAAGTAGGTGGATTCAGCTCATAAACCTGTCCAAAGTGGATCCAACTTTCACACAATGTGACTTTGATCGCAGAATATGTAGAGACATGTTTGCCTGTGTTGCTGGTCCAGTAGTGGCTGCTCTTTCATCGTTCTTCGAGCACGCCGAGGAAGAGGAGCTGCTGCATGAGTGCATTGAAGGGTTGTTCTCAGTTGCAAGGATTTGTCAGTATGGACTAGAAGACACCCTTGATGAGCTTATAACATCTTTTTGCAAATTCACCACACTGCTAAACCCTTATGCTTCCATAGAAGAGACCATGTTTACCTTTAGTCATGATTTGAAGCCTAGGATGGCAACAGTTGCTGTTTTCACCATAGCAAACTACTTTAGAGACTCAATTCAAGGGGGTTGGAAGAACATAGTAGATTGCTTATTGAAACTCAAAAGGCTTAAACTTTTACCCCAATCTGTCATTGACTTTGAGGCATCAGCTGATGTCCCAGCAACACCTGAATCAGGTGCCACGTCTCCAACTGATGATCATAAATTTGGCAGTCAGAGAATTGCTAGCATGCTCAGTCGATTTTCGCTTCTTTCATCAGATAGCATGGATGATGGCTTGACCATTGGTAGTGAGTTTGAACAGAACCTCAAAATGATCAAAATGTGCAAAATTGGTAGCATCTTCATCCACAGCTCCAACATTCCCAAAGAGAGCTTACAAAACCTTGGGAGATCTTTGATATTTGCAGCTGCAGGAAAAGGCCAAAAGTTCAGCACACCAGTGGAGGAAGAGGAAACAGTTGAGTTCTGTTGGGATTTGGTCACTGCAATATCAATCGCTAATGTCAATAGATTCCATATATTCTGGCCAAACTTCCATGAGTACCTTCTTGCAGTTGCTCAATTCCCCATGTTCTCACCAATCCCTTTCGCAGAAAAAGCTATTCTAGGCCTTCTCAGGGTCTGTCTCAAGCTATTTTCTGCACCAAGAGAAGACAAACTAGCTGAGGAACTTATCTTCAAGTCCATAACTCTAATGTGGAAGCTTGATAAAGAAATCCTCGACACGTGTCACGAAGTCATATCGCAAACAATAAGCAAAATAATCATTGATTACCCAGCAAATGTACAGACTCAGTTTGGATGGAAGTCAGTGCTGAATCTTTTATCAGTTGCATGGAGGCATCCTGAGACCTATGAAGCAGGAATTGAAGCCTTGATAGCATTATTCTCTGATGGAAGTTGTATATCACGCACAAACTACACATTTTGCATAGATTGTGCCTTTGGTTGTTTCTTAGCCAAGAACAGTCCAGTGGACAAAAAGAAGAAGATACTAGACCTATTGGCTGATTCAGTAAACTTGTTGGTTCAATGGCACAGAAACCTGTACACAGATCCAGGAAGTAATGCTAGTGCATCAAGCTATAATAGCAACTCCTCCTTGGAGGACAATAACAGAGGTCCTTCTGCAAACTACAACATGAACCTGTTTGTGAAACTTGGAGAAGCATTTAGGAGGACAAGCTTATCAAGACAAGAGGAGATAAGAAACCATGCAGTTTATTCTCTTCACAAGAGTTTCAACCTAGCTGAGGACCTTCTTTTCACATCATCAAACTGCATCAACTATTTCAACCTTGTGATTTTTGCTATGGTTGATGAGCTTCATGAGAAGATGTTGGAGTACTCAAGGAGGGAAAATGCAGAGAGGGAAACAAGAAGCATGGAAGGGACCCTTAAACTTGCAATGGAACTGTTGTCAGATATGTACTTGCAGTCATTGAGACAAATAACTGAGAGTCCAGCATTCAGGACATTCTGGTTAGGCATATTGAGAAGGATGGACACATGCATGAAGGCTGATTTGGGGCAATATGGAGCATCAACTTTGAGTGATGTGATCCCTGATTTGTTGAGAAAGATCATATCACAAATGAAGGAACAGGGGATTTTGGAACCAAAAGAAGAGGATGATATGTGGGAGATTACATATATCCAGATACAGTGGATATGCCCTCCTCTTAAGGAGGAGTTATTTCCCTTATAGACCAAATTTTAACCCCATTTTTTGACTTTTCTTTTTCACACCATTCATTGGTTTTTGTAGCACACTTCCTTTGTTTTTCAACTTATGATGTAAAGCGATAGTGTTGTTGTATTCCCTTAATCTTAGTGGACACTTCTTCAACATAAAGCAGGCATTTTCTTGTATCACAGATTGCAAAACTAATGTCATCGCTTATTTTACATCCTTGAGAACCTTCTAATTACGCTACTATGTATTCCACTACTTAATTCTGACAAGTGTAAACTATGAATGCATTATTTTTTTCAAGGCTTCAATTCTAACTCATATTATACTCTTCTTTGTATCACACTAGTACTAGCGTCCGACCCAGATGTTGTTTGTGATTCCTCAGTTTACGGGCAAAGTCAAAAAGCATGTATGCTAAAATCTAATACAACAATGGCCATGTATATATATATTTTTAATTATAAAAAACAATATCAATTTATTTCTTCAAAATTCTCGACAAAACTTTAATCCCTCAACCATCAATAGTATCATTAATTTCGTCCTTCATTCATACAAACTTAACATCAATTTAATTAAACAAGGATAAAGGTTATCTAATTTTAACATTTAGTCTCTCGTTTCGTTTACAGAAAGATGATTATAACTCGATATCAAATGGACTAGAATAACGACATCATTATATTTTGGAAGACCGAAAAAACATTTACTCTTTTTCAATAAATTTTAGCGCTCATGTCTAATGGGTCCATTATAGTATTATTTTCTCCAACTACTGAAAATTTGAAAACAAAGTATATGTTGTCTTACAAAACAATGTTTTTAAAATCATACCATTCGTCGAAACGATTTCCTTAGCTCAATACTGAAATTAAAGTACTACACAACTAGGGATAATAAAAATATATTTTATGTTAATATAAAATTATAAAAACTAATTAAAACTTTAAACCGATATAAAAAATTGTATGTCATACAAAAGATTTATAATAAATAATTAAAAATAACAATTTATACGTAGCTATTTTATTTATTTTAAAAATACAATGTTATAAAAACTAGTTTCTATACTTTTTTTTATCTAACTGATTTTGGCTCATCCTTGACCAGTTTTTTGCTCTTAGCAATTTACTGAATCATCCGATTGGATTAGTATGGTTAAACAACAATGCTGTTTGCTAAAGAGGGAAGTGTGAACAATACACATTTTAACACAGTATATTATAGAAAAAAAAATTATTAAAATTTTTTTTTTTTAATATATCTCACTTCTCATGAATCTCTTCTAATTTTATAATTTTTAATAAATTTAAATCAATAATTAAGTATATATTAAAAAAAAAGGGTGTGTTGCTACTACCACTCTTGCTAAGGAATAAAGGAAGGACCATGGGGCCCATGATAGAACCCAAGGCCTGCCATCGTTTGATGCTGAAAACGGTATCTCCTACTCAATATATTTCAAATTTCAGTTTCCACTTTCCAGAATGACGGATATAAAAAAACGGTATGATTTTTGTTTAATTTTTAACAACCTTGATGTTTCCACTTTCCAGAATGACGGATATAAAAAAACGGTATGATTTTTGTGTTTAATTTTTAACAACCTTGATGTTTTTGTTATAAACTTATAATATTTACAGTAAAAATAAAATGTTAAATATTTCAAACATGTTAAAGGTGTGTTTGGATGAGAAATTTTAAAAATTTGAATTACTTTATTTTAATTTCTATCATTTTTTAAATATTTTATTTAAATAAATTAATTTAGATTTTTAAAATTTTTAAAATTTTAAATTCTTATATGAAAATTTGATTTTCATCATAGGTATAATTAATTTTAAATAAATAAATAT